GCATCAGGACATTACATGAATGGACAATGTTACAATTACAAATAAAATCACTTAACTGAAGTATCTCTGAGAGAAGTTCACATGTCTTTTCAGTTGAAGCTCTGGCATATGTGTGAACACTGCAAATAAATGCTAGCTATAAAAGATTGTGGCTGGCTGTAACTGTAGTTATATAACCTGTAACTAGTACAGTACAAACATGATCATTTCAGAGGTGAAAGGTTAGTCTGTGCCAGGGTTTGTAGCTATAAAATATACATTACAACTTTAAGACATTACAATACCTTTTGAAGTGCAAAGAGTGATTCCTATTGTAACATTCATTGTGGCACCAAGTTACTCAACTGCTAATAATATCTAATACACATATATCACTTTTTGTTTTAGTTTTAGCAACTCTCATCCAAATCATATAAATTTAGCATCTGTCATCCAGTCTGGCAAGTACTTGTAGTGTTTTTTTGTGTGGCAGCTTTGCTATCCTTTTACATTATTGTTTTATATATATATATACACACACATATATTTGAATTAGTCAAAATACTTTGGAGTGGCTGCTGCATCGGAGTACTGAGCACGCATGGGAATGCCCAATGTGCACTGACGGCGATTGTGATAACATAACACATATTTGAACATCACATTCTTGTTAGCTTTTTTGCTGTTGTGTTTGTCCATTTCTATATCTTGTTATTGTTTTGCCACATATGGCATCACTTTATTTCCTGGTTCTAATGATAATGTTTTTGTTTTTTTTCCTTACAGTTCTCACTCAAAGCGGCACAGAAAGAGCAGGCGTTCTTCAAAGAAACGGTAAGTGGTTGAAATACAATATTTTTCTGTGTTTAAGACACCTTCATGTAGAAGACACTTTCATTTTTATAAGATGCCCTCATGTATAAGACACCTTTATGTATAAGACACCTTTATGTATAAGACACCTTTATGTATAAGACACCTTCATTTATAAGATGACCTCATGTATAAGACACCTTTATGTATAAGACACCTTCATTTTATAAGATGCCCTCCATGTATAAGACACCTTCATGTATAAGACACCTTTATGTATAAGACACCTTCATTTATAAGATGCCCTCATGTATAAGACACCTTTATGTATAAGACACCTTCATGTATAAGATACCCTCATCTATAAGATGTTTAAGACACTTTTATGTATAAGACACCTTCATTTATAAGATGCCCTCATGTATAAGACACCTTTATGTATAAGACACCTTCATCTATAAGATGCCCTCCTGTATAAGACACTTTCATGTGTATGATGTCCCCATGTATAAGACACCTTCATGTATAAAATGCTCCTATGTATGAGACACCTTCGTGTATAAGATGCCCTTCTGTATAAGATACCTTTGTGTTTAAGATGGCGTCCTGTATAAGACACCCCCATGTAAATGATACCCCCATGTATTAGACGCCCCTCTGTTTGAGATGCCACTTATTCAAAAAGAGAAATTTGTTTAGCCCTAAATTAAGAAATAGTTTTTTAAACACATAATGTATATGAGATAACCCACAATTTTAAAGCGAACAGTTTAGGAAAATGTAATGTCTTAAACACAGACAAATATGGTACCTGTGTGTGGTACCTGCTACTGTAAGTAAAGTAAAAGGACCCTTTTCCACGCCTTTAGGCGTTTAGGGCATATAGGGCTAGACCTATATTTGTATAGACCAATTGACACAAGATGGGTGATGTGGTCAGCATCACGCCAGTCGCCTTCACTTTACGGGACTGCACCCGGGACCCACTCAAGGCTGGGTTGACCTGGGAGTACTGCTACTGTGTTCACCCTTAAATAATAGTTGGCATGCTTTGTTTCGGTTTAAAGCTAGCTGCAGTATCTGCACCTTTCAGCCTAGTAGATTCAACAAACTCCTAGTTAGTCGTCTTTTATCGGAGGCAGTGGGTCCCCCTTAACCCCCAGAATCGACACAGGGAATGCTGAGTTCTGTCCCTGACATAATGCAGACTGTAGGGAAATCTCTTTTGTTCTGTGAATTTTACCACTTGTTATAATTTATTTCAGTTGTTCACCCCTCTTTGTGTGGCCAAAGATTGTCTTTGTTCTCATGCTGCCTCTCGGCAAATGACCAAAGATTGTTTTTGTTGTTCTCTTGCTGCCTTTCGACAAATGACCAAAGATTGTCTTTGTTCTCATGCTGCCTCTCGGCAAATGACCAAAGATTGTTTTTGTTCTCATGCTACCTCTTGGCAAATGACCAAAGATTATCTTTGTTCTCATGCTACCTTTTGGCAAATGACCAAAGATTATCTTTGTTCTCATGCTGCCTTTTGGCAAATGACCAAAGATTGTCTTTGTTCTCTTGCTGCCTCTCGACAAATGACCAAAGATTATCTTTGTTCTCATGCTGCCTCTTGGCAAATGACCAAAGATTGTCTTTGTTCTCATGCTGCCTTTTTACAAATGACCAAAGATTGTCTTTGTTCTCTTGCTGCCTCTCGACAAATGACCAAAGATTATCTTTGTTCTCATGCTGCCTCTCGACAAATGACCAAAGATTGTTTTTGTTCTCATGCTGACTTTCGACAAATGACCAAAGATTGCCTTTGTTCTCATGCTGCCTCTCAGCAAATGTTTGTAGTTTGTTGACAGTGAACTGCCGGGAACCTTTGAAGACAATATTGCTGTCCCAGCCGTCTGTGTGTGCTGAAATGAATCATCGTCTTGTTACTCAGTGAGGATCAAAATCTGTTCCTAAATTTTAAAGAAATCAAAAACATTGTCCGCAGACAAAACTGGCTGTCACCCAGAAATAATAACAGCAAAGGAGGAAGAAATTGAATGTGTCAAAAAATTTGAAATTCTAGGCTTCATAATAAACAGCAAGTTCAATAGAAGTGAAAATGAGGATGGCCATAGCAGTGTAAAGATTAAATAGCATTCATAATTATTGACTTTTATTTCTGTAGATTTCATTTATCTCTGTGATTGGCCTTCTTTTTCCATTTGTTGACTCCAAGTGTTTGTAGGTCTGCCTGTATATTGTCTCTTTATCATCTTCTTGGTCTACTTGATGATCTACCCTGTTCAAATCTTTTGTTTAAGCAGTTTTGGTCTCTTATCTACCATTCTTTTCTGTTTGCCACAACCATTGCAGTCTGTTAGCCCTCATGCCAGTAATTAGTGGGGATTGAAATGAATGATAAATATCCTTTTTGTTTCTTGACTCTCCATTTCCCCACTGTTTGCATCTGAGATAGATTGAAAGTTTCATCACAATACTGTTGCCAAGATGTGTAATAAGGCGTGCTCTCTTTGAGTTCTACTTCAAGCTTCAGAGACATGGTACAGTTGGTCCTGTCTTATATGTTGTGATCATGATGTTAACGAAAGTTGCTTGAGCCTGTCATTGAGGGACCATGTGGAGGCAGTTACAGCGAAATGCCAAAAGGGGTTCAGTGCCCCCCAACATTATATTAGCATTGGAATGGAGCAGACAGTGCTACTCACATTGTGAACCAGCACTTCATTATTTTGGTGATGGATTGTGGACTGAGCTGCTGACCGTATTGAAGAGTCAGCTGACGAAGCTTGAACACATACCGAATGAAGCCATGCATGTGATTCTAGGAAGTACCAGAGACACCCCAGTAGTTTGTATGTGAGACATCCTTGCATTGGCGACTATCTGGCTCAAGATGCTACCAGCCAGGTCATAGCTCGGGGTAGCCTAGAGACACCCCAGTAGTTTGTATGTGATACATCCTTGCACTGGCGACTACTGCAGACTGGCTCAAGGTGCTACCAGCCAGGTCATAGCTCAGGGTAGCCTAGAGACACCCCAGTAGTTTGTATGTGATACATCCTTGCACTGGCGACTCCTGCAGACTGGCTCAAGGTGCTACCAGCCAGGTCTTAGCTCGGGGTAGCCCAGAGACACCCCAGTAGTTTGTATGTGATACATCCTTGCACTGGCGACTACTGCAGACTGGCTCAAGATGCTGCCAGCCAGGTCATAGCACAGGGTAGCCGCGGAAGAAAGGCTAATGCTTCCTGAAGATCTGGATACAGCTGAGGGTCATAGGTTGGTTAGATGGAAGTCTTGGATGGCACAAAAAATGTGTGTATGCTGGGGAAAATTGTGATAAGAGAGAGGTGTAGATCAAAGTCTCAGAGCAAAAAACCTTTCTAACGGCAGTTGGCAGAGAGTGCAGAGATTGGCCAGTAGGCACTGCAGAATCAGAAATTCAAGAACTGATTCATGATAATTCCTGTCCAGGTGATGTGATTGTCTATACAGATGGTTCTATGTTGAGAGGCAGAAAAACTATGGAGGGGTATTGGGAAAGCAAATGGTCAACTGCAGGAAAGTCTAACGTATGATACTACAATATGTAATTTAAGAATGGAGGTGGAGGCAGTCACAGTAGCTTTCTGCTGGCCTGAAAATCAGCTGTTCATACATGTCGTGATTGTAACTGACCTACAAAGCATGTCAAGACAGGTGGACACAGTCATGCTCCGTGCAGAGTGGAAAGCATCGCTTCTGAGGCCCTGGGTAGTTAGCATTCTTTGGATATTTTCTCCAGGGCATGAAGGAGTTTTGGGAAATGAACAGGCAGGTGGGCTGGTTCTGCACCAATGGGTGGGGAATTTATGCGTGACAAGCTAAATGTGGTCAAGGTCCTTTGCCAGCAAGTGAACAATGATGAATTGGTCATTATGGTCTGGAGAGAATGATTCATCTGGGAGTGACCTGGGGATCTAGTCGACACTCTACACTCAGAGAAAAGGCATGATGGACCTATAACCAAACTGTTATTGGCACCAGCAGAATTTTAACTCTTCGCTGGCTGCTGAAAATGAGAATGTGCCTTCCCAAGTGATGTTATGTCAATTCCTAGCTGAACACTCAACTGTAGAAGTTCATAAAGAAATGCTGCAGATATCGCCCGCCACATCAGCTTCAGGTGACAGTAAATGTTTGACTTCTGTTTCCCCTATCAGGTCCACAGAGAAGAAGAAAAAGAAGAGGAGGCAACACAGCTCATCCAGCTCCGGATCTGTCAGCCATGAAGAGAGGTAGTTGCCTCACTCTTTTGTTTGCTGTCTGTTCTTCTAGTTAGATTATGAGTTTTATCTCTTTCTTTCCTTTTCTCTTTCTTTCTTTCTTTCTTTCTTTCCTTCCCTCCTTCCTGCTTTTTCTTTGCTTTTTTTTATTTATTTTTTCAAGTAAATGATAATCAGATATTTTTTATCAGGGTAGAAATTGAATTGTTAAAAGTACCTAACAATAATTTACACTACCATCATACAACAAGAACATGCTTTCCACTTTCACTTGAATCTCAGAATCCCTGTTAAATTTGGATTGTGTTGTTTCAGTGTGGATTCTGATGAGCCAGCCAGCACCAAAAGCACACAGGACACTCCAACAAAGAAGATCAACGGACTTGACCAGTCACTGTCGCGCTCTCAGATGTAAGAAACAAATTTTCATGAGATCTGCAAATGTAATCTGTCTGAACATACACAGATGCTGACTTTTGTCTGCAGTCTTCATAGTGCGAAACTTCTGGAAATTGACATGTGTGACAGCTTTCAGGGTGTCTGCTAAGTTGATGTCAGTTGCTAGATTGCAAAACTTGTGGAAATGTACATGTGTGACAGCTTTCAAGGTGTCTGCTAAGTTGATGTCAGTTGATAGATTGTGAAACTTGTGAAAATATACAAATGTGTGACAGCTTTCGAGGTGTGTGCAAAGTTCTTGTCTTCTCTTTTCTGTTTCTTTCTGTCATAAAAAAAATCCTGTATGTCTCCTGCTGTAATTATTGTAAATAAATACACACGCTGTCTTTTGTCCACAATTCCTGGTAAGAGTGTGAAACTTTTAGAACTTAACATTCTTTTAAAAGCCCTACTGTAGACAAAAGTAGAAGGCAAGAGGTAGACAGCGATACAAGTGGAAGGACACTGTCAAGAGGTGGATAAACAGCAGTCTGAGAGAGTTTACAGCCACTGGGAAAAACAGAATGTTGGAGAGAAAATTACAGCCAACTGTCATTGTGAAGATGGCACCTGATTGATTGATTGAATATTTTCTCCCACAGGATTCCTGTACAAGGAAAAGAATTGAGTCCAGTGCTTTTGCCACAGCCACTGATCCCCCTACAGTCTCCTAAAGGCTCCCCCTCCCAGAAGGCTGCTCACGTAAACTTACACGCAGATGACAGCAATAAACAGGCTGCGGCATCCCCTGGTGGACCCGAGAGGCTGCCCCTGTCTAGATCCAGGTCTAGCTCACAGCATAGTCATTCTTACAGAAGGTGGGTATTGTCTAGTAATTGCAGTTTCAGTTTCATAGCAAATGGGTCACCACACAGCTCTACAGAACTGGAGCAGTACTGTAGAGACCATGTGTGCAGGGTGATCTGCACAGGAAAGGTAACACCAATGTGATTGCAACAAAGCATGCTGCAGAAACTGCAAGATCAGAAGTGTGGTTCTCTGTCAGAACATCCTTCCTTGACCAACTTCCAGCCAAGGTTAAGAGCCTGATCTGTCTACCATAACATTAGGTTTTCATGTTGCATCCTCATCCTAGGAAAAGATAGTATCCTCCCTGATGCGCCCCACTGCCTGAAGCCGTGGACACAACATAGGATGTCAAGTTTGATATACATAGCCCAACATTCAGCGTTGACAGAGAACAGGTGGTATCGACCACCCATCTATCTTCCGTTCTAGTCTGCTTTTAAGCCCAGTAACACCTATGTGATGTGTTTACAGAGGACTGGACAGAGAAATAAGAAAACAGAATACAGAATGCCAACAACAAAAATTACCAAACAGCACAACTTGTGAGACATAGAATATCAACAAGCACACACAAAAAAGCATCTGATAAATGGGCTTTTGTTATAAATGTTATGCCGTTAGAACCAGATATGGACAGTCCTAGAATAATATAGACACACAATGACAATATGGGAAATAAGATGTAGAAGATCTCCTTGGGGGTTCTGGGGTACCATTGTGGGGAAAAGAAGAAACCCACTACCTCCCCAACAAGCATGTCATAGGAGTCGACTAATGAGGAAGGGGGGGAGGGCTTTCTTTAAAGTCGGAGTGCAACTGCCTGAGCAGCAAGGGACAACAAACTGCACACAAATAAGCCAGTGAAAAGGGGGTCTGTGCAAAACTAGACCCTGAGCCAAAGTCTAAATAGACAAACAGCCAAGACTTTCCACCAGAGCTTACAGACGGTGAACAAAGAAGAAGAAGAAGCAGAAGAAAATGTTGAAGAAATGTAGCGGGAAAAACACGAGGTAGAAACACCAGTAAAAAAACTAGGAACAGTGGTAGGTACAGTACTGGTAAATGATTTCTTATAACATCAAAGAATCAAAGGGTTTGGTTTTCTGGTCAGAATGGAACAAAATCAGCCAGCAGTTGGAGCGAACTACTAGAGATCACCAGGCTACAAGGCAAGAGGCCGACCAAGAAAGATATGGGTGGAGGGAATAAAACAAGGCGCTACAGAAATGCAATATGACGTTAACACAAGCTACAAAAGTAGAAAGAAAAAAAAAAAAAAGAAGCTACATCCAACTTCTCTCTATGATGCTTTATGACACAATCAGCGGGACAACAGAAGAAGAAGAGCTCTGTTTTTGTTTTAACCACTTGTCCTTTTGCTTCTTCCTATTTTTAGGTGGCCGGTTAACGTGTTAGCTGGTGAAATACATTATGTAAGATTTCTGCGTGTGTATAGTAACCCAAATACTTCCATCAACGACAAACTGCATTGCTGGTGGCCATTGTTGGCTTTGTCGCCTCTAGCAATTGAAATATGCATTTACTGCGTGCACATATTTTTGGATTGTTCTGGAACTAGTTGTTTATTCACCAGTTTTTCATATGCAACAGTGAGAGACATTGCATTTGATTTGCACTGGCACAGGAACAAGCAAGTATGGGGGGAACCCGATTGTGGTGATGTTGAAACCTAGACTAACTAACTATTTGTATTGTTATTGATTCTTGTCTTTCTATCTTGTATCGAGTCATGACAATTTTAACTGGCCTTCCCCCAACAAACAGGCGATCCAGCTCCGCATCTTCATACTCAAGAAGCAGAAGTCGGAGCCACAGCCGAAGTCGATCTCGTTCTCCTAGTCAGTACTCTCGCCACCGAAGCAACAGCAAGAGCTACAGTAGAAGTCGCAGCAGAAGCGTCAGTTCTGTCTCGGGGCATAGAAGCAGCCACCGTGATTCCCGCTCTCCATCCATCCGCCGGAGGAGAGGCTCACCCAGCCATTTAGATAAAAGAAGAATTACCAGGTATAAGGATGATGCGAGTGGTAACTTTTTATAATATATATGTGTATGTGTGTAAGTATGTATATCTTTTTCTGTAATATATTAGTGTATGTTACTTGTGTCAGTGTTTTCTTTAACACTTCATTAGATAATGGTTAATTTAATAAAATTGTTGGAATGCACGCCAGGCAATCTTGTAGGTGCTCAGTCTTCATCAGTAAATGCTGCTGGATGTGTAGACTGATTGTTCCAGTAACTTCTTCCTCTTCAGTGGCAGTAAACCCCAGTTGAAAGTTCTGATTGCTTGTCCACCTCTAGACTTTGTCCTTTCCCAGAACTTGAGTTTTGTACATGCACATCTGTTTTACAGACCTGGCTTATTTGTATGCAGACTGTTTGTTCCTTACTTCTCAAGCAGATGCTCTCCAACTTCAGTGGAAACAATCCCTAATTAGTGGACTTTTACAACTTGTTTGTTTTGGGGAGGTGGAGGGGGGGGGGGCTATTTATTCTCCCCCAGAATGGATCCCAGAACCCACACTGAGTGTCCTGATTATACAATGGTTATTCATTTCAAGGCAGGAGGGTCCACTTCTTTGCTCCGGGTTATCCCAAGTGGCTCAAGAACAGCTAACAGCCTGCCGAGAGCATCCACAGAGCACAAACTCTGTAGCTTCAACGACAGTCCCCAGGGATTTCCACTAACAAGAATTATACTCAGAGCAGTGCATCCCTGAAATAAACCCAGGACCCTCAGATGGCAAGGCAAATGACATGTTATAACAGTATTATCTACTGGCTGTAAACTCCGGCAGAAGGCTCTTGTTATATCTTCCACTTCTGGACTCTAGTCCTATGCCAGAAACTGAGTGTTGTGTGCACATCCGTTTCACAGATCTGACTCATTTGCATGCAGAATGTTGATTCCTTGCCTCTCAGGCAGATTTGCTCCAACTTTGAAGGAAGCTCCCAATTAGTCGACTCTTATGACATGCTTTTGGATAGGCAGTGGGATATGTGTGTATATATATATATCCCTCTCTAATTCTCTCCTCTGTTTTCAGTCCTCCCTTTAAGTCTTTCACCTCCTGATTTCTAATCAAAAGACATTATGTGATCTAAGTTTAAAAATATTTCACAGATGTTAGACATGAGAAAGTATTAACCATTTTCCAATGAACAAAACTCTCGTCAAATTTTTTTTTAAACATATTATTAAGTTGTCATTTTTGTTGAACATTGTCTCCCTGTCATTTTATTGCACTGTTTGGTGTGTAAGATTCTACTGAATTCTTTCCTTTTATCAAGCAAATTTTACCTATATTTTTTGGGGGGGGGGGGGGGAGGGGGAGGCAGATTTGTCATTTACAGAATGCATTTTGTAATCCACTGTAAAAGGTATATGATTTCCCAGTGTGCTCCTGGTTTTGGTTGTGTGAGCATCTCATTGTGGTTGAGCCTCTGCACATAATGTTTTCAGAACATCAGTGGATGCATCTCCTTTGTGGAGACACGTAATATATCAATATGTCGGTCCCAAGCAGTATTTTCTGGGTTCTCTCTCATGGGTCCCAGCAGTATGTTCTGGGTTCTCTCTCATGGGTCCCAGCAGTATGTTCTGGGTTCTCTCTCATGGGTCCCAGCAGTATGTTCTGGGTTCTCTCTCATGGGTCCCAGCAGTATGTTCTGGGTTATCTCTCATGGGTCCCAGCAGTATGTTCTGGGTTCTCTCTCATGGGTCCCAGCAGTATGTTCTGTTTTCTCTCATGGGTCCCAGCAGTATGTTCTGGTTTCTCTCTCATGGGTCCCAACAGTATGTTCTGGGTTCTCTCTCATGGGTCCCAGCAGTATGTTCTGTTTTCTCTCATGGGTCCCAACAGTATGTTCTGGTTTCTCTCTCATGGGTCCCAACAGTATGTTCTGGGTTATCTCTCATGGGTCCCAGCAGTATGTTCTGGGTTCTCTCTCATGGGTCCCAGCAGTATGTTCTGGGTTCTCTCTCATGGGTCCCAGCAGTATGTTCTGGGTTCTCTCTCATGGGTTCCAGCAGTATGTTCTGGGTTCTCTCTCATGGGTCCCAGCAGTATGTTCTGGGTTCTCTCTCATGGGTCCCAGCAGTATGTTCTGGGTTCTCTCTCATGAGTCCCAGCAGTATGTTCTGGGTTCTCTCTCATGGGTCCCAGCAGTATGTTCTGGGTTCTCTCTCATGGGTCCCAGCAGTATGTTCTGGGTTCTCTCTCATGGGTCCCAGCAGTATGTTCTGGGTTCTCTCTCATGGGTCCCAGCAGTATGTTCTGGGTTCTCTCTCATGGGTCCCAGCAGTATGTTCTGGGTTCTCTCTCATGGGTCCCAGCAGTATGTTCTGTGTTCTCTCTCATGGGTCCCAGCAGTATGTTCTGGGTTCTCTCTCATGGGTCCCAGCAGTATGTTCTGGGTTCTCTCTCATGGGTCCCAGCAGTATGTTCTGGGTTCTCTCTCATGGGTCCCAGCAGCAGTATGTTCTGGGTTCTCTCTCATGGGTCCCAGCAGTATGTTCTGGGTTCTCTCTCATGGGTCCCAGCAGTATGTTCTGGGTTCTCTCTCATGGGTCCCAGCAGTATGTTCTGGGTTCTCTCTCATGAGTCCCAGCAGTATGTTCTGGGTTCTCTCTCATGGGTCCCAGCAGTATGTTCTGGGTTCTCTCTAATGGGTCCCAACAGTATGTTCTGGGTTCTCTCTCATGGGTCCCAGCAGTATGTTCTGGGTTCTCTCTCATGAGTCCCAGCCATTCCTGGTGTGTTCTCTGACATTTTCTGTTTGGTCAGAGGATAGTAAACAAACCTGGCTGTCCAGTAGCTGTTGCCTGCTTGGACCTCTGTTAAAAAAAAACCTCTGGGACTGAGGGGTTACATAAGAGAACTGTGAGTTTAGAAATAGTAGAGCTTGTCAGCCAGAAGAGATTTGTTTAAAATCAGGAACGAGGTCATAAGAGAGCAAATCAGCACAGAACCAATTCTAAATTACAGACAAAGGCAGCAAATTAAAAATTCTGCCCATTTAAAGATAATGTCTTATGAGACCATTCCAAAGAGGGCAGACACAAAGTACATATTGAAGAAAGAAAGACAAAACTCATCTATTTGTATGTAAAATTTGTACTCCAAGCTTCCTGATCATTTCACTGTTTTTGTACATTGTATACTGCTGTTGTCTCACTGTTCATATTTACTTGTACACTTCTGTTACATTTTTGGTTGCCATTTTTACAAAGTGTGTGTATTATCACTGGCTTTTGATAAAAAAGTGTGTGTTTGTGTACCTATATGCAGTTGTATGCAGTGTCATTGGCACTGCACCAAAGTCACCTGAGTGTGACATCTTTGGGGGGAGGGGGGAGGAATTAACCTTTGAACATTGAGATCTCTATAAAAAAAAACATCAACGTGGACCTGACAGCTGACTTCTGGCCCAGTTGGAGAACTAGGCATAGCAGAATATATAACTTCTATGTTATTTTTGCTTGTGATGGTGCTTTGTGCAGTTTCCTCATATGGGCAGAAGTCTACAGTTTCGCTGTCTAAGCTACTGAGCTCAGTGCTTGGTGCAGCACTGTGAGCTGTGTTTTTCATTTGGAATGCTTTGCATTTGTGCAGCAGTAAAGTCATGGTATTAAATATGGCTGACGGTAACTGGTTTACTTGTGGGCTGGTGAAATACCTTGATGTAATAATTTTACGTATGTATAGCCAGCTTATCGTGACCAACTACTTCCATCAATGACAGTGCATTTCTGGTGCCAACTTTTGGCTTTGGCACCTCTAGCAACTGCCTTATGCATTTACTGCATGCACATATTTATGGGCTGTGCCAGGGTTAACAGTTTGTTTACCAGTGTTTCAAATGAGACATTTGATTTGATTTTTCACTGGCACAGGGACGGAGCAAGTAATGAGGTGATCCGACTACATGGAAGTTGAAACCTTGACTAAGACTAAAAAGTCAACTGGAACATTTTTAAGTTGCGTGAAAAGTAATACTTCATTTTGATCTACCTAGAGTAAGAATTCACATATGAGCCTTTGACCTGTTATAAAGTGACAAATAACAGCCGTGAAAATCACCTAAATTTACACTCATGTGACTTTGGCCTAGTGTCAACAAGTATACAGTGCAGACCTGATAAGGAGAACTCATTAACAAATTGTTCTTCTTATCAGAAATTTCCCTTATTCTGATAAGAATTCAAGCAAGAAAAATTGCCAGGGATAAACAAATTGTCCTTTGTGTCAGAAGCTTGTCACATTGAAGATCGTCTCAAGTGGTCGTCTGCCCTGTACTGGTTTATTTTTATTTGCAGTTTTGTTTGTGTCCCTTTTATTTAATGGGCTCTTTTGTGTCAGATTTATTATTTGGCTTCATTGTGTCTTATTTATTCAATGGGCTTTATCATGTATTATTTGTCATGTGAATTTAAGTGTTGGGTTTTTTTTTTAAAATCTGTTTGAACAACTGTGTGGAAAAGTTAGCTGTTAGTTATAATAAAGAAATAGTTGTTTAAAGTGAGAGAATAGATTTACTTGCACTGGGATTTATTCCATGTGGCTTAGTCTCTCTTAGCTTGTCTTCTTCACTTCCTTGTTTACTGCTTCTGGTATCGAGGGAGATATAAGGTTCTGCTTCTTGCTGTTCTGGCTGCCTTGACCATAGACACATCCTGCTTTTGCAGAGTTGGAAAATCAAGTCTGCAGCTTTACATGGCATGGCATACAAGTAAACCAGTTTGCCATGGGCAGACCCAGTTATACGATAACTTTGCCATGGACAGACAGACCCAGTTAAATGATAACTTTGCCATGTCCAGACTTGGTTATATGATAACTTTGCCATGGACAGACCCAGTTAAATGATAACTTTGCCATGTCCAGACAGACCCAGTTATATGATAACTTTGCCATGGACAGACAGACCCAGTTAAATGATAATTTTGCCATGTCCAGACTTGGTTATATGATAACTTTGCCTTGGACAGACCCAGTTATATGAAAACTTTGCCTATTACAGAGCCAGTTATTTAGAACTTTGCCATGGGCAGACCCAGTTATATAATAACTTTGCCATGGAGAGACCCAGTGATATAACTTTACCATGGGCAGACCTAGTTATATGAAAACTTTGCCATGGACTGACACAGTTATATAACTTTGTCATTGACATACCCAGTTATATTGTAACTTTGCCATGGACAGACCCAGTTATATAACTTTGCCATGGACTGACCCAGTTATATGGTAACTTTGCCATGGACTGACGCATTTATATTGTAACTTTGCCATAACTGACCCAGTGATATAATGTTGCCATGGGCAGACCCAGTTATATAACTTTGCCATGGACTGACCCAGTTATATGGTAACTTTGCCATGGACTGACGCATTTATATTGTAATTTTGCCATGGACTGACCCAGTTATATCACTTTGCCATGGACTGACCCAGTTATATGGTAACTTTGCCATGGACTGACGCATTTATATTGTAACTTTGCCATGGACTGACGCATTTATATTGTAACTTTGCCATGGACTGACGCATTTATATTGTAACTTTGCCATGTACTGACGCATTTATATTGTAACTTTGCCATGGACTGTCCCAGTTATATAATTTTGCCATGGACTGACCCAGTTATATTGTAACTTTGCCATGGACAGACCCAGTGATATAACTTTGCCACGGACAGACCCAGTGATATAATTTTGCCATGGGCAGACCCAGTTATATGGTAACTTTGCCATAAATGACCCAGTGATATAATGTTGCCATGGGCAGACCCAATTATATGGTAACTTTGCCATGACTGACCCAGTGATATAACTTTGCCATGGACTGACCCAGTTATAGGCCTCTGCCAGATGCTGGCTCAGTTGGGGTAAGAATTAAAATCCTAACCTGCTCAGTTGATGGCGACTATGCTAGCCAAGTGTCCCTTAGTCCTCAGTGTTCTTCCACTCTCTACGGCTCTCAAAGGTGTTACAGTAGGGAAAGTATGAATATCTTTTTATTTATTATTTAACTTCCTTTTTATTTCATTTATGTCATTAAGTTTATTTTTTTAATTTCTCTTTTTTTTTTAATTAGTGCTTTCTTCTCTCATTATTTCAGTAAATAGTTTCTTTCCTCTTGTTTTTGTTTTTTAAATAGAAGTTTTGGGGTCTCATTATTTCATAGGCTTTGTTTTATGATTTGAACTCATTTTTTGTTGTTGTATTATAATTTTATGCTTTTCATTTTCATGTGTTGATGTTGTGATCGCTGTGTTCTACCTCCTGTGGAAGTGTAGCTGCAGAAGTCCTGCAAGAAGGTCCTACAGATACAGCAGCTACTCTCGGTCGTACTCCAGGTCAAGGTCTGAGTCTCGACTGAAATCAAGGTCGCCTAGTCGGTGGCATAGCCGTCGAGGTCACTACTGATCACTGAAGGTTGTGTTGTCTTGTTTCAGCTTGCGTAATTTTTGCCTACTAACAAAATAGTTTTTCTCTTTAACATCAGCAGACCCGAATTATCTCTTACTGCTGTTTAATGTTAGGTTGACTAACACTGTCGGTCTTTCTTCTAAATCAGCTGCTTCTTCTGCAAATACTCAAACATAACATACCATCCTCATTCTGTTTTGCCGTTATTTGTTAAATAGGACTCGCAGACTGTTTCTCCATTCTGTTTTTTTGTTTGTACTTATACTTGGGGAGAATGTAACTCAAAAGTTGTACCAGATAAACGCTAAGAACTAAACTGAATAAAAACGTAAAATATGGGCATCCTTATTTCTTCCTCTTGTGCCTCCACAAGTTAAACCTGGATAGATTCCAAGGAGACAGCAGTTAATGTGAGCATCTTGATTTACCTCTAGTTTGTCTTCAAGGAGGCAGCAGTTGATGTGAGCTTCTTGATTTCCCTATAGTCTGTCTTTCAAGGAGGCAGCAGTTAATGTAAGCTTCTTGATTTCCCTATAGTCTGTCTTTCAAGGAGGCAGCAGTTAATGTGAGCTTCTTGATTTCCCTATAGTCTTTTGTCTTCCAAGGAGGCAGCAGTTAATGTGAGCATCTTGATTTACCTCTAGTTTGTCTTCAAGGAGGCAGCAGTTGATGTGAGCTTCTTGATTTCCCTATAGTCTGTCTTTCAAGGAGGCAGCAGTTAATGTAGCTTCTTGATTTCCCTATAGTCTGTCTTCCAAGGAGGCAGCAGTTGATGTGAGCTTCTTGATTTCCCTATAGTCTGTCTTTCAAGGAGGCAGCAGTTAATGTAAGCTTCTTGATTTCCCTATAGTCTGTCTTTCAAGGAGGCAGCAGTTAATGTGAGCTTCTTGATTTCCCTATAGTCTGTCTTCCAAGGAGGCAGCAGTTAATGTGAGCTTCTTGATTTCCCTATAGTCTGTCTTCCAAGGAGGCAGCAGTTAATGTGAGCTTCTTGATATCCCTCTAGTTTGTCTTCCAAGGAGGCAGCAGTTAATGTGAGCTTTTTGATTTCCCTATAGTCTGTCTTCCAAGGAGGCAGCAGTTAATGTGAGCTTTTTGATTTCCCTATAGTCTGTCTTCCAAGGAGGCAGCAGTTAATGTGAGCTTCTTGATTTCCCTATAGTCTGTCTTCCAAGGAGGCAGCAGTTAATGTGAGCTTCTTGATATCCCTCTAGTTTGTCTTCCAAGGAGGCAGCAGTTAATGTGAGCTTTTTGATTTCCCTATAGTCTTTTGTCTTCCAAGGAGGAAGCAGTTTAATATTGTTTTGCTTGTTCTCTTCACTTTTTCTTGTTATTTAGTTTATTCTTTTTTTCCTTTTTCTATCTTTGTGTGTTGTTTTCTTGTTCAGTTCTTGTTTCCTAGGTCATCTGTCTCTTCTTCCTCTTTTCTTCTTGTTTCTTTCTTTATCTTAATCTTTTTTTTTCCTTCTTTTTTTTTTTAAACTTCGTCTGTATTTTCTTCACTTGTTCTCTTATATTTTTTCCCCAAATCACCAGCTTTCTTCTTTTCTTCTTGTCTTTTTCCACCCTCTTCTTCTTCCTTTTCATCATCTCCCCCCCCTCTTCCTTTTCTTTCCAAATCACTAGTTTTCTTCTTCTTGTCTTTTTCACCCTCGTCTTCATCTCCTCCTCTTCTTCTTCATATCCTCCTCATCTTCTTCATCTCCTCCTCTTCTTCTTCATATCCTCATCTTCCTTTAACTGCTGCTGCTTTTGCTGTGAATTAACTATCTATCACTTGTGAACAGTTGAAAGCTCCTCTCCATCTCTCCAGTGGATACATTGAAGAATATCTGGTCTGTCCGGGCAGTATAATAATGTGATGTTCCAGTGAAATGTTATCTGTATTATATTTTGAGACAGAATGTTGTACTGCGTACAATATTTCCATAAAATAAAGGTCAAGTCGGGAGAAGTGATCTAGCGGCATTGCACACGGTTATAAACAATAAGTGCTGTGCCACCAGTGAAGTCGGGAGATGAAGTGAAGTCAGGAGATGTGAACCAGCGTCATTGCTCACGGTTATAAACCATAAGTGCTGTGCCACCAGTGAAGTCAGGAGATGTGAACCAGCGTCATTGCTCACGGTTATAAACCATAAGTGCTATGCCACCAGTGAAGCCAGGAGATGTGAACCAGCGTCATTGCTCACGGTTATAAACCATAAGTGCTGTGCCACCAGTGAAGTCGGGAGATGAAGTGAAGCCAGGAGATGTGAACCAACGTCATTGCTCACGGTTATAAACCATAAGTGCTGTGCCACCAGTGAAGTCGGGAGATGAAGTGAAGCCAGGAGATGTGAACCAACGTCATTGCTCACGGTTATAAACCATAAGTGCTGTGCCACCAGTGAAGTCGGGAGATGAAGTGAAGCCAGGAGATGTGAACCAGCGTCATTGCTCACGGTTATAAACCATAAGTGCTGTGCCACCAGTACGAATAGCTGATAAGAAACTCCGTAGCTACAGCGAGAGTGTTAACTCTGGTACCCATTTCCTAGAGGCTGGGTGAACCAACCATAAGCTGCAGCGAGTCACAGCTGGATTTGAAAGTGAATCTCCTATCGACTGCGCTAACGCAGCCATGAAATGTTAACTGTAAAACATCTTGATTTAATTAGGAATAGACAGACCAGATTTTCTTTTGCATACATTGAAGCCGTCACAGTGATTTCATAACTAACTGTGGTTTTCATTTTGGCTGGAGTTATCCAAGCTGGCATTCAGCTGTCTGTATCACCATAGCTCTGGCAGGCTTGTGGGAGGCAGCTACTTGACTTCTGTGATGGAACCAGTATTTCTTTAAGCAAAGACTTTTTCCTCTTCTTCTTCACTTCCTCTTGTACAGCTTCAGGTGTTGAGGGGGATTTAAGGTACTGCTTCTTACTCTTCTGGCCACCTCAATAACAGACACATAGTATTTTTGTAGAGTTTCTCTGATCTTGTCTGTCCATCTTGTTCTTGGTCTACCCCATGTTCAGTGTTTAAAAAACAAGGACTAATAACTACAATATTGGCATTGAAATTACACTAGTATTGCAATAAACATTTGCTTACCCAAAAACTAAAATAGCTTGTTTTATTGTGGTCTCTTAGTGTCTGAATTGATTTAATATACTAATATTTTACTGGGCTCCACTTACTTTAATAACTACAATATTGGCATTGAAATTACACTAGTATTGCAATAACCATTTGCTTATCCAAATACTAAAATAGCTTGTTCTATTCTGGTCTATTAGTGACTAAGTTTGTTTGGAATTACTAATATTTTATGAGCGGTATGTTGACCTTAGCCAGTGCACATTGTATATAATTTTAGTCTGCTGGTTACTAAATTTACAGCAATATTTCCCTTTCTCCATTTTCTTATTCAACAAGTTTTTTTTTTTTATTTCTCTCAATTAAGCATAAGCCCCTGCTCTGGGATATGGAGAAATGTTGGTTCCCTGCTCTTCTGACCTGGGGTATAAAGAAATATTTCATTGTTCCTTTCTCAGATAGTCTTGGCTGTTAAGAAGTATGTTCTTATTCTCTCCCCCCCCCCCCCCCCCCCCCCACTTTACCTCCTTTTTATCAAGCGCCACGGCGGATTGGAAAAATAAAAGCACAAGGCATGGTACCAGGAACGAGGGGTAGGGGCCGACCAACTTCAAGATGGGACATGATATAAGTGAATCCTTGGAAGAGAAACATTTACCCGGCACCTCTCTTCTACCCTGGAATTTACAGAAATATTTACCTGGCCCTCTCTTCTACCCTGGAATATACATAAATATTTACCTGGCCCTCTCTTCTACCCTGGAATATACAGAAATATTTACCTGGCCCTCTCTTCTAGCCTGGAATATACAGAAATATTTACCTGCCCCTCTCTTCTACCCTGGAATATAGAGACATATTTACCTGGCCCTCTCTTCTACCCTAGAATATAGAAGAATATTTACCTGGCCCCTCTCTTCTATCCTTAAATATAGAGAAATATTTACCTGGCCCCTCTCTTCTACCCTAGAATATAGAGGAATATTGACCTGGCTCCTCTCTTCTACCCTAGAATATAGAGGAATATTGACCTGGCTCCTCTCTACCTTGAAATTAATACAAGAGACAAAATTGCAGATACAGACAACTATTTCAGGTCAATGAAACAAGAAGCAGCAGCCATTGTGTCTGTGTTGTGTAGCATGCTGTCAGTGTCTGGTTTTATTTGCTTGATCGCATGCATGACTCTTGCTTGTTCGCTCTGCATGCTGCTTTGGTTATAGTTATGCTTTTTGCATGTTCACAGTCAATGTAACCATGTTTCTGACTGCAGATTATCTCCTGTGTAGGAACAAGAAATCAAGACTTTTCTTGGCATCTTGAAGAGAGTTGTTTGCCTTTGCTTTCCTTCTTTTCAATGACCATACTGGTCAGGCGACCGTGGTCATTGCTGCTATAGCAGGATCCTCTGCTGACCGTCGGGGCAGCTTGAAATCATGACCAGCATCGTATTGAGAACATAATAACGACTGGTTGGTCAGATGGACAGAGAGCAAGAGGAAGGCAATGAGATAAATACCTGGATGGCTTGGCCACATGTCGAAACATAATAGCATACACGGTTCTTTATTAATATCCTGCCCCAGATGACATCACAGGACAGTCCAACATTTTAGAGGGTGGTAAGACTGGGTTTCCCAGCTTTCTGATGCTTTTAACGACCCCAAAACATCTAGAACTGGCCTTAACACCAACCCACCTACATCCCACGAGAGAGCAGCCTATCTACCACTCCCTGAAATATTAGACTTTTCCGTGACCTGTGTATTTTCCCTGTTTGGGGTAGGATATTAATAAAGCACTGCATTCACTTATTGAGATGGCAAGCATGCAATGATGGTGAAGAACAAGAATGTTTAATTCACAGAACATTTCCATTTTACTGTGGGTGTGTGTGTGGTGGGGGGAACAGCCGC